GAATTTTAGTTCCTCTCCCAGGTGACTTTTTAAAGCATATTGCAAAACTGTAGTTGGGAATTCTTCTATCAAAGCAAATTTAGTGGAGAGTGATGGTGGTGGTCAGAAATCGGACATCAGTGAGGCCTGCTCTGTAGCAGAAGTTATCACTACATGAATCCAAATTAAAAGATAATTCCCTAAACATTGGGGAAAAAGCTATTGGTACTAACAGAACTACATCTCAAATCAACAGGTAATGGGGAGGCCGTGTACCGACTTCTCATACAAATGAAATATACATATTCACCTTAGCAATGTGTGCTTTCTTTTTCACTGCACTGCCCCACTCAGCTAAAAATGTCCTCCTGGGAACCACGAAGAGGGGGAAGGTGACAGAATCCCAGGAGACTGAAATGTAGGGACAATGGAAGGGTAAAAGAGTAAGCACTGGCAGAAAAAAGAGTGTATATCTCTCTCCCCCAAGATGCTATTGGCCTGGGGGAAAACTCCATTCTACCCACCCTAGACACAACTCTGATAAACTGTGTACTTGATACCCTCTGCTAAAACCCTACTTTGATGCCTAGTAAGAAGGTGACCTTGAGTTGTTGAAAGCTACACTAGTGGAGCAGAAGCTCTGGCTGGTCTTGCCCATCTGGAATGACTTCAAGCATGGTCTTGGCAATGCATCTGACAGCCATGTTTAGAGAGTCTTATCACCCCACCAGAAATTTAGCTACTAGGATTGACTTTTCTTTACCATTATTTTTTTTTGTCCACAGAAATCAAGGAAGATAGTCTAAGAGGGGCCAGGGTCACCATTTTCATCAGTAGAGGGAGTGCCCTCATGAATGAAAACAAGAGTCTTTTGAAGTATTGAGGTACACATGGCACAAGGCTGCTTAAACTTCTCTACATACTCCCAATGATCACTGTGATATTCCCTGTTCTTTACCTCGTACTTGGGAGAGGGAACATGATGTCACACAAAGATCACTGGCCTTGGACTCAAGTGAGATCAAGCTTTTGAATGCCAGCATTGCTTCATACTTTCTATAAGACCCTGGGCAAGAGACATCATTTCTCTGTCTCAATTTCCCTTTCTAGTGAGGAACAATACACTTTCTTCCTGGGTCCATTTGAGCAGCGCAGTTTGTAAACCTTGAAGTATTAAAGTGAGAGATGAAGCTCAGTGCCTCTTGTTGCCCTGAGAGGGAAGAGCCCAAGGGGAGGAACCGGGCCTGAAGTGATCACAGGTTGCTTTGAAAATGATGAAAGGGTTTGGCGTGGGAGAACAAAGTAAAGGCCTGTGCTTTGAATATAGCTTCTCTACATTCAATAGAGAAGGATGTAATGCAAAGGACAGTTCAGTTCAATGACTGTAGCTTTGCAGTGCTTAGTAAAACTTTTAACTCTTCTTAATAGGTTTATTTAATTTATTTCTAAATTCATTGTTCCCTTATCCAATTACTAAATCAAATGCATTTGATTGGAAACTGAAAACAGACATTAAAAGCATAGCCCACTTAAATGAAGAAATAGCAAATGGTAAAGTAAGTGTCCAGGAATATATTCTCTACTTGTTATTTTATAAAATGGGAATTGGAATTTTATAGAATGATAGGATGTTAAAGGTAGAAGGAGCTATCTGTTCAGTCTTCTTAAGAATATTCATATGTAAGCTTTGTAAGGATCTGTAACAGTTATAAATAATCTCCAAGGTTCCTTTTGACTCTAGATTTTTCTTTGATTGTAATTCAGGTAATTTAATTATGGGTAAGGCACGTGGGTTGGAACGCCTTTACCCACTGGGGTGTAGCAGGTTTTGAAATCCTTGTGAATTTTCTCATGGCCGGCTGCCAGGCTTGAGTAACTTAGCTCCCATTTGGTTCTCTGTTGAATCTTCTTCCCTTTAACAAAGTCCTGGAGAAGGGTGGACTGAACGGACACTGAGATTCGGGGGAGGAAGCGTGGAGAGAACTTCTTTGAGGGACTCAGGCTGAGCCGGCTCCCCTCTAACTCTTCTGAACAGCTTTGACCTGTTTTCACTGGGGAAAAACGCTCAAAATTAGCCGTTACTTGATGATTGCGCGCTTTCTCCTGCTTCCTTCTAGCTTTTCTCGAAATACAAGGCGCACACAGTCAGCCATTTCACTGAATTCTTTTTGTCTTCCATTTTATTTTATGGCTCTCTGCGAAAAGCGGGGCTAGGAAGAATTCTTATTCTTAAGAACTTAGTAGAATTTCTTAACACCGCCTGTTCACTGCCTCTATATAAGTTGAGGATTGAACAGAAGTGTGTATGTATAAATCAACCAGTAATGATTTTGTGAAAAAAATTTTAAATAAGAAAAGAAAATTTAGATTCCATGCTTCTCTCTATAGTTAAAACGGTACTCATTTGTATTTATCTTTGCAGTGCAGAACTGTTGTCTGGGGTTAATTTGTGTAAAATAGACCAAAGAGGAAAACATTTATTGTATTGTCTTTTCTCTTAGAATATACAATGCTGTAGATCTCTCAGGGTAGAGGAAGAAGAAGAGGAGTGAGGAGAAGGGGAGATTTGGCAAAGAGTGTGTATGTATGCGTATACACTCATGCATACATACATAGTACATATATGAATATACTTACATATCTATTATACTTGGCTTATTTTTATGGCAGAGGTTTTGGAAAACTTTAACAGCAACTCCTTGGTCTAGAAGTTATAACTACAGTGAGATCGACTTTCCCCAGTAAAACACTATAGGAAATCATATTTTTAATTTGATGAAAACTTAAGATTTTGTAAATAGGTAAATATTTTGAGACCAAAATGCTGCAGAAACTTAAAGGAAATATATTTTGCCTTGAAAGAGTATGCTCACATGTAAAAGTTTTGTGCCTTTCATGGGTTGTCATGTTAGAAAGAAAGAAAAAAGAAAAAAATACTTAACCTAATAGCCTGACTTCTGGTGATGAGCCTTTGTAGGTACAGTTAGCCAAACTGGACCTTGGACAGTAGACAGAGTCTGTCCTTGGCCTTGAAGTCTTTTGGCTTTGGATGTGCCAGGACTTATTTTTCACTGGCATAGCCCTCAAAACCCGGGGTCACCTCCATGCCACAATGAAGCATTAAAAGTTGGTGTTTTGGGTAAATTAATGATTTTACATTATCAGACCTATGGCATAGTCTGTGTTTCCATTAGCAGATTTACTTAGCACAGTGCTTGGTACATAGTAATTGCTTAATAAATGCTTATTGATTGATTACTGATGGTATTCATGTTATAACCAAATGGGGGGGGGGGAAGCCTCTGAAGGAAGCTGCTCTAATTAAATAGTTGGAAATGCCTGTATTGGAAAATATGTGTTCAGTCAGTGAACATGAAATTTGCTGTCACCATTAGCTAAGACACATTAGTTCCTGTGTACCTTATAGAGTTAGTTGTGATACAGTAATCTAATCACTTTAGATAAATTACACAGCACTTAGCACAGTGCCTGGCACATAGTAAGTGCTTAATAAATGTTTCTTGACTAATAGAAAAATCAAAGACCTTGAACAGCCACAGATTTTGCATCCAAGGTCTTCCTTCAGGTCTGCTTATCACCGTGCTGGAATTTTGAATAAATATAGTTGTCTTAGCATAGTGATACCATTATACCCCACTTTTCTAGGGGTCATATTTTTGGTAACTTCAACCCTTAGGAATAATGCATGAAGTTCTCTGGAAATAAAAGGAAGAAAGCTGCATAGCAGGAGGGGAATGAGTGTCCCCAAATTTTTACATTAAATCAGGCTTTTGCATTTGTGGGTAAAACTTTAATGACTCTTGCAGTTCTCAAAGTAGTTACCTGTTTTCTCAGCCTGCTAGGAGCCAGCTACTTCTGGCAGGCTGTCTAGGGATTTATTGGCAGCCTGGAATAGAGAGGGAAGATGCAGAAATGTCTTGAATATAAGAATGGATGCTCATAGTAATGCACTAAATAAAATCTTCATGAAAAGGTTTAGCTCAACAAACTCTACTTAAGGAGGCAGTCTGGTAGAAAAGACATTTTAGAAAGGTTTCCATAAAAAGTGATTAAAATAAAAATAGGAAAGGGGGTGTTCTTGTCCTCACTTTCATCTGGAAAATAACGTCCCCCAGCTCCCAGATAAATTGAATCATTCACTATGTGTCTAAAAAAAGACTACCAAAAATTTGAGTTATAACTACATAAAGTGTTTGCAACTGTTCATGTACTTTGTCATTTTAGGATTCAAGTACAAAAAAAATGTGGCAGGGTATGGAACAGGAAGAGTTCTCAGGGTTAAAATGTTATCAGCCCTCTTCAGAAGTGTCGTTCTCCTCTTTCCTGCAGTACTGATTTCCATATTTCACACCTTCTTTGCAGTTACTTAATAGTCTTCAAGTGGGACTGGGGGAGAACTCTTTTAGTTAGTTATTAATACTGCTCACATCTATCCCTGCTGGGGGCCAGTTGAGCCAGAGTTTAGTTTTCTCAGCTATCAATACCCACAGTAGCAGGCATCTTCTCTTAGAGCTGAGCCTCGGAAGAGCTTGATAAGGAGACTCTTGGGCCACAAATGGATCCTCCTCCACTTAGTCTTAGCAAATTGAATTTAATTGAATAAACCATAAAAGATTTAGGATTCCACCTTCCAATGCAGAAATTATCTGGAGGAAAAATATATATATTTTCTTGAAACCAGTAGGATTGGGAATAGGAGAGAGAGGGTTTTATGTGAAAGGAAGCAAATACAAGCATGTTATTAAATGCAACCCTTGAAAAGTTTGGACTTTTTCCCTACCCTTAGAGAGAGAGCCACCCCTGTGTTTATATAAATAAATAAAGACCCTGGAGGTTTTTGGACACTGAGTGGTTGACTGTATATAAAGGCCCTGTAGACTACTTACTGTGAAGAAGTCTAGAAACAAGAATACATTTTTTTTAACACTGTAATTTGGGCTCCTAATTAAACACTGTCCAGAAAAAATATTTAACTGTAGAAACTCCCCAATTTGTTTCAGGTCGGTCTTCTCTCTTTCCCTTTGAAGATGCCTTTCTAGAGGACAGTCATGGTGACCAGTCCTTATCATCAGGCCTCAGCTCTCCAACTCGCTGTCAGAATGGTGAAAGAGTGGAACGCTATTCTAGAAAGGTGTTTGTTGGGGGCCTCCCTCCTGACATCGATGAAGGTACTCTCTCTCTGTTTGTGTGTGCGTGTGTGTGTGTGTGTGTGTATTAACATGTTTAAGAAAGAATTGTCTCTGTATTTAATGTTAGGACTTTGAGAGCAGGAATGGTTTCATTCTTGGCAGAGTGCCTGGCACATCGTAGGTGATTTATAAATACTTGTTGATTGATTTAAAGAACAGACCATACCCATCATAGCTAATGCTCTGTTCTACGGTCTGCCTAGGGTATTGGCTTATCATTCTTGGGAAAGGTCAAAATGGAGAGTGGTAATATGTCATATGTAAAGCAGTAAGATCAATGTGTGTATTCTTCCCATGTAGACTTCCTTCATAGGGACTCAAAAGGCAAAAGTCCTGCGTATAGACTTGTTTTCACTTTCCAGAACCTCACAGGTAGGCAGGGAAGGGATCCTACATCATTCAGAGTTTTTATACCTCAGTTATAAATTTGAGTACGCTGATAATTTCCAAGGTTTTAACCAAAACTTCAACTATTACACTTAGACATATTTAACATTATGTATATGTAAACATGTGTTTATATATATAATATATATACATATATATAAAATCATTTACACACTTATATGTAAGTATGACCTGCGTATCCCCTACACAGCATGATATTGTAGAGGAAGGGTCAGGAAGACTTGTGTTCAAGTTTTGCCTCTGATACATTATGGCTTTTTGACCTTGGGCAAATCACTTAACCTCTCATTGTCCTAGTCAACTGAGACTAAATAGGTATTGACCTGTATTGGCAGAAGGAGTTTCCTCTATACCAAAGAAAACACAAGTCCAGTCCCTATCATCTAGATGTAAACAAGACTTGCTTAAAAGGGTGAAAGCAATAATTAGGACAATTAGTTGATTAAAGCTAGAAAATTTTATCATGAATTAATGTATTATGATAAATGTTTAGGTAACTAATAGTCCTAAGTGAAAACTTTGACTTTTGCCTAAAATTCAGTCTAAATATAGAAATAGAAAAATGGAAAAATAGTAAAGTATCAGGTGACTTAAAAAAAGTTTGTGTCAAGGTCAGTTCTAGTAGGTCTGTGACCTACTTAAGAAAATCTTAGGAATGAATCCTTTTGGTAGCTCTTAAATATTTCTAGAAAATAGAATTTAATTTTTCGATAGAAAGGAAGAAAGGAAGTTGGTTTGGAACATTAACACTGTAACTTGGCTGCTTTGTTAGTCATGAGTTCCTCATCACTCCTCAACATTCTGTGTGTTCAGGCAGAAGGTGCTTTACTATTTCTTAAGGATATTAAAGAGGATTCACTTAGTGGGTAAGGATTGGACTAGATGACTTTATGATGCTAATAATATTCTTTGAACTTATAAAGCAGGGTAGAACTGGAGCATCTAATTATAAAGTCCTCTTCCTGGTTTAAAAATTAATCTTAATTCTTCCCATAGTGTTGCTTGTTTGTCTCCCCCTGCCCACAAATAGAGATTTTCATTTGTTGCTGAAAGAGCTGTTAATTTCAAACCTAAATAAAGCTGTCTTAGCAGATTACATTAATCTTCTGCCATGAGTCAAAAAGAGAGTCCATTCAATTTACCAGGATTTTTAAAAATTGTTTTATTGAGGATGAGAGTATATAAACATGGGCTGTAACCAATTTATTTGTCTTAACACTGTTATTCTATGTACCTGTTAGGGAAACACATTTTCTGCTGGCAAAAGATACCAAAAAAGAAAAAAAAACAAACTTGTAGAACTAGAATGTGATTTCCTATTTCAGAATGACTTAAGAACTACATAGTTTCATATTCTGTTCATCTTTGCTCTTTTCTGAAAATAAAATTTAAAAAAAACCTCTTATTTTTTTAACTTGTTTTCCTCAAGAACAAGTTCTTTGTTCCCATTTTCTGTGGTGCAATAAGGGAAAACTGTAATATAAAAGTGAGAAACTGAGTTTTCATGCTTTTAAGTGAATTAAGAGAATACTGATTTAGTACAATTTTATAGATAACTTTCAACTCCTCTTGTTAAATGGCTTTAGGAAACAACCCTTAGGATATTTTTTAAAAGCAGGGTTGTCTATTTTGCTGCTTGGCAATTTCCCTTTCCCCCCTCCTAAATCTCCGTATTTGTTTTTGTAGATGAGATTACTGCCAGCTTTCGTAGGTTTGGACCTCTTGTGGTGGACTGGCCTCACAAAGCTGAAAGCAAGTCATATTTTCCACCTAAAGGTAATAAGCTTACAATGCCTATACAGCCTGTTTTTAGAACTAGTATGACAATTCAATAAAAGGCAGCCTTTTAACTCTTGAAGTGGCTGGGATTTTTTTTTAATCCATCGTAATGTGGTTGTTAATATATGTAGAGAGAGAAGATAGCAAGCCCCTTTCTCCAATACCACGCTAGTGGTTTCATAGTCTTATCCATGAGGAAGTAGAATACCATCTGGAACCAGCCTTTAGCTCATGTTGATTTCTTACTTTTGGAATGAAGGTGGGGAAGGAATGCTGAGATCTGTTGATTATTTTAACTAGTCTCAATCAAAGGCTAAATCCATCTCCTGGCCTAAATTCTGAGAATGAACTTGAGGTTGATCTTTGTGGGGAGAAAATAAGGAAACTTAATGTGTTTATAACTACTGTTAACCTTGAAATGAAGAAACTCTCCCAACCTGGGGCCAGGGGTGGGTGGGGAGGGTGGTAATTTGAGATGAGTTTATCTTCATCTCCATATATCAACATTGGGACAACTTATCAAAGTAAAAGCTAGTACATGACTCTTAAAAACTCCTGACTTTTTCCAGATTGTTTTAGGATTTGTTTTTGTTTTTGCTATTTTTTAAAAGTTTTGTGGTTGCCTTTTGTATTTGTATTGCCTTTTTTCCTTAGCTTTCTCTACTGCTTTCCATATCGAGCCCTCGTTTGAATGGAGAAAAATATTTAAGTAAACCAGCTAACACAACATGGACAGCATTTACTTCATCACACATCCAAAGTCACCCCCTCCCTACTAAGAGGAAGAAGTGTTCTTGTATATCACTTCTCTAAGACCAAAATTGTTCCTTATAATTCATCAGAGTTCTTCTGCTTTTTCATGATATTATTTACATTTCTGTCCTGTGTATATTGTATCCTTGGTTCTGCTTGGTTCACTGCATCAATCCATATGGGTCTGCCCACATTTCTTTCAGTTTCTTATAACAAGATAATAATACTCAGTTTATATCCTTGGACCAAGATCTTTTGAGTCAATTTCACTCAACAGGCATCCATTTTGATTGCTTTTTGACATTGAATATTTCGTTGCATAGAGGAATTTCCCCCCCTGTTATTGACCTCCTTGGGTTATATGTCCAGTAATGGGATCACTGGATCATGAATAGCCTACTGACTTCTTATTTATTTCCAAATAGTTGGACTAATTCATAGCTTTACCAGCAGTGACTTTGTGCTCCCCTCACACCTTCAGGATCTTTTTTTTTTTAAGTCACTTTTATCTATTTGGATGTGAGGTGAATTTGGCTTATTTTCTTTTCAGTGGACCAAATCATGTGTTGTTTTTCTGGGGATGACAGTTTGTGTTAAGCCCAGGGGGCTTGATTTGGCTGATACCAGGGGCATCACCTACTTGTGTACTACTTACCAAGTGTTTGTCACTAAAAATGACATCATCTTGTGGATTATACTGAAGACAGTTTTGGGAGGGGCAGGTGCTGTGTTTTATTATGCAGCACCAGCTCATTGGCAAACAAAACAGGATGAGAGAAAACAAGCTTTAGACACAGTTACCCCAAATTCTGCAAGTCTTTTCTGTGCCTTAATTGACTCTTGCCCCAAGGTTGTGGCTTAACCTAGGGATTGAAGGCAGCATCTTGTTGACCTAATTGCAAGTGACTCAATCTAACGGCAACTTCTCTCACTGACCCCCTTATTCACAAACTCTAAATAATTTACTAAGCGCCATCAATTTTTAACTTACTTCTATAGAATTTCCTCATTTAAAAGACAAACAAAAAATCAACTTTATTATTCAGCAAAGGCTAAGCCAGTGTCCTGTCTAAGCAGTTAATATGGCCCTGAGGATGATCTTCTTTATGGGAAATAAGAGGAAATTTAGTCATACTATGATAACAAGGAAGCAGCTTTCAGAAGACTTTGGTAGAGGGGTTTTAATTAAAAAAAGACAACCCTCTCCTTAGGCCTTATAACCTAAGGTAGAGGGTAAGCAGTCCAGAAAAGAGAAAGAAAATTATTATATTATTATATATTATGATTATTATAATTTTATTATAATTATTACTCCATTCACATTTGAATCCTCACCTACCTTTCTCAATTCATATCCCTTCTTCGCTTTGCAAACTTTTTGTCAAACTGGCCTGTTACTGTTTCCTACGTGCAAAATCACATCTCCTGCCTCAGCATCTTTTCACAGGTCATCCTGCTACGTCTGGAATGAGCACTCCTTCGCCTTTGCATTTTAGGATTCCTAAAGCACAGCCTAACTCACTCCTAGATCAGGCCTTTCTGGATTTCCATCTCCTTTCCAGTAGCTAGTCTTCATTCCTTCTTGAAATTACATTGTATTTTCTTGATATTTATTTTGTATCATGTGCATGTACAAGTTGCATTTGTACAAGACAATATAAACTCCTTCAGGGCCATGATTGTTTTTGTATCCCTGGTACATAGGTCGGTCCCCAGCACACAAATGCCTAATAAATGAATAGAATGTTGGCTGTAGCTAATTGGTTGTATTTATTTATATAATTTATATAATTCAGTTTTATTTATAGCTGGTTTCTGGCTATCTAGTAATTAGCAATTCTTCTGTAGGGCGTGCCTTTCTTTATGTAGAGTTGAAATTGATCAAATGTTTTTCTTGGTACGTTTTAGGCTCATGAATAAATAGGACCTAGGATCTTAGATCTAGGGGCAGCTTTCGAAGCAACCTGGTTCCAATGACTTCCTTTTGCTAGCTGCCTGAGCTGATGCAGCTTTTTGGGTATGGGTTGGACTAGCTGGCTTGCTGCAGTCCCTTCCAGTTCTGAAAGTCTGATTGTGGAATTAACATATCTTGGCCTTTTTAAGTATTTGAATAGGTCACAACTAAGTCTTTTAAACTTTCTGGGAACCAGAAGAGCAGGGAAGATAGTAAGGTTGCATTAACTAGCAGTTTATGGTTCTACTTGTGACAGGCTCTTGTGAGGACAAGAAACAATGGTTTTTGATGGTTTTATCAGCAGCCCTTTGAGAACTAAAAGACAGGTGATGTGAATACACCCCAAAAGGAAGGAAAAGTTTTTGTTCCAGGCAGAATTCTTTTTTTAATTTTATTATCAATTTATTTTGTCAACATAAATTCCATAAGCATTTGAGTTTTAAATTTTTCCCCCTCCCTCCCCACTACCCTCCCCAAGAGAGCGCACAATCTGATGTAGGCTATACATATACATTCCTATTATCCATATTTTCACATTGGTGATGTTGCAAAGAAGAATTAGAACCAATAGGAGGAACCACAAGAAAGAGAAAACAAAACAAAACAGAAGAATAGCAAATAGTATGCTTCAATCTGCATTCAAACTCCATGGTTCTTTCTTTGGGTGTGGATAGCATTTTCCATCATGAGACCTTTGGAGATGTCTTAAATCCTTGCATTGCTGAGAAGGGCTAAGTCTATCAACATAGTCATTGCACGATGTGGCTGCTACTGTGTACAATGTTCTCCTGGTTCTGCTCACTTCACTCAGCATCAGTCCATACAAGTCTTTCCAGGTTTTTCTGAAGTCTGCCTACTCATCCTTTCTTATAGCACAATTGTATTCCATTACATTCATATACCACAACTTGTTCAGCCATTCCCCAATTGATGGGCATTCCCTCAATTTCCAATTCTTTGCCACCACAAAAAGAGCTGCTATAAAATTTTTTGTACATGTGGGTGCTTTTCCTATTTGTATGATCTCTTTGGGATCCAGCCAGGCAGAATTCTTATTCTTCATGTCCTATAAAGGTAGAAGGACATTTGAAATTGAATCATTCAAAGTTCTAAAGAAAGAAAAGTGCAATATTGATGGAAAATCACTTTTGTTTTTCCTGCTTCTGACTCGTTAGCTTTATGACCTTAAGCAAGTCACTACATTACTGACCTTCAATTTCTACCTGTGTAAAATAGTATCTACTTCAGGAATCATTGTGAAGATTGAAGATTTAGAGCTGGAAGGGATTGTAAAGGTCATTTGGTCAAACCTTTTTATTTTACAGATGAGGAAACAAGCCCAGAGAGTCCAACTTGAACTTATTTGTCTAAGTTCTTACAAATAGAAAGCATCAAAGATAACATTTGAACCTAAATCCTTTGACTCCCAGATCAGTGATCATCTTCCACTGTCACCACCTCTGAAATGAGGGAATGCATTTAGGGTACTTTGGGATCCTCAAAACACTATATAATTGTTAGCCATCTTGTTTGATATGAATGTAGCTATTATTTTTTTATACTTTAATGAGTAAGGACAACTGAAGAGATTACTATGGGAATTTTTTCAAAAATGAATTTATATGAGCCTCAGTGATAAATTTAACGCTTTGGAAATGTGTATCAATAGTGTTTTCATTTTGAATGATTGCTAAATTGAAAATTCCTCAATAGGAATTGTATCTTACCTTCCTTATATATCTCAATACATTGTTAGGCACTCAAATATTTGTTAGTTGAATAAACAATTCATACAATTACAGTTAAATCTGACTTCATCCAGAATGTTCTCTCATTCTTCAAAATGTAGCTTAAGTTCTGCTTCCTCTTGTAAAAATCTTCTCTATGACTCAGTTTACATCACTGTTAGTACTATGATGTTAGTACCTTCTGAGATACTGGCTTTTTCTCTAATTGTCTGTTACCCAATTCATTCATTCATTCATTCATTCATTTATTTATTTATTGTTATCCACTTCAAAGGTTTGTGTACTATCTTGTTCACTGATTGCCTCATGTGTGTCTTGGCTCCCCAAATAGATTATAAACTCCTTTTGAATCTTGATACCTTAAAGTGCCAAGCATAGTGCCAAATATATCATCAGTAATTGGAGGAAAAAAATTCTTTGGTTGATTGATATAGGAGTGGAACAAGCAAGAAAACATGATGAACCTTTTTCTGTCATGCATATAGATTTACTCTTTCTTTTTTTGTTATCTTCTCCATTACAATGGGAAATGGAGAGGAATC